AAAAAAGTTTAAAAAGTAAAAGAATTAAAAAATTAATGCAGGGGTGCCTGGCTGGCTTGGTCTCTATACCATGCCACTCTCTCTCTCTCTCTCTCTCTCTCTCTCTCTTTTTTTTTTTTAGCATACAGCTCTTAACCTCAGGGTCGAGAGTTCAAGCCCCACCTTGGGCCTGGAGCCTACTTAGAAAAAATTAGGGGCACCTGGGTGGCTCAGTCGTTAAGCGTCTGCCTTCGGCTCAGGTCATGATCCCAGGGATTGGGCCCTGTTTTGGGGCTCCCTTCTCAGCGGGGAGCCTGCTTCTCCCTCTCCTCCCTGCTCCTGCTCTCTGTTTCTATCTCTGTCTCTCTCTCTCAAATGAATAAATAAAATCTTAAAAAAAAAAAAATGCATATAAAGTGCAGGGTTCCTGGCACATAGTAAAAAATGTTCAGTAAATGGCAGGTCTTGTTTTCCAGTCCAGCGCTTGCCAAACATCAGGCAGTCACAGGTTGCTGTCACAATTTTTGTCATGCCTACATAACCCTCTACTAGACTTTACATAGTATTTGTTACTAAATAACTTGCCCTTTTTATTTAGCATCATCCTAAAAAGCAATACCTGGGAAATAATTGATTTGATGTACTATTATATTTTTTACACATTAAAATGAATACATAACTACCGAAAATCTAATCCATTTGTTTTAGGGACCGCCGTGGTATGTACCACCCATGGGAAACACTGGTCTAATCCACCTTCGGTTCAGGAACCTGAGACTCAGAGAGACTAAGTGGATTTTCCAAGGTCACACAGGGAATTATTGGAAAAGCCAGCAATAGAGGAATTCAGGTCTCCTAACTAGGGCAGTACTCTTTACTCCACATCAAACTGCTGGTTTTACAGGGTTCTTAAAAGACATATTGAGGGGGCGCCTGGCTGGCTCAGTCGGTAGAGCATGCAACTTTGATCGCAGGGTTGTGAGATCAAGCCCCACGTTGGGCATCAAGCTTACTGAAATTAAAAAAAAAAATTGAAATGTACTGAAAAGGGAATGTTCTTTTGTTAGTCTGATGTTAGCAAATTGGAAATAACTTTTATATATTAAATTGGCTACAAAGATAACCTCCATTCAGCATGAAGCAGAAGAGAAAGTTGAAAGCGCAGGTTCACCTCATTTCATCCCTATCTGCTCACGGCGCTCAGCACACAGGACAGGGGAGGCTCAGGCACCGGGCCCTGGAGGTGACACCCTGTACAGCTGTGACTTGGCGACTCGTCACGCTGCAGATGGGAGTCGGCCTGTGGCAAGAGCAGCTAAGGGCGCAAGCTGTAGTGTCAGATGGGGCTGGGTTCTCTTGCCCCTCACCACTCACAGCTTTGACCTCCAACAAGTCACTTGGCCTTTCTGAACCTCAGTCCCCTCATCTGTAACGCTCCCATAGGGTTGCTGGGAAAATTAAGTACTCTCTAGAGAAAGTGCCTAGGGCAGCAGGGATGACTTTTTTTTTTTTTTTTAATCGAGGGAGAGAGAGAGGGGTTGGTGGAGGGGCAGAGGGAGAGAAAAAATCTTAAACAGGCTCCACACCCAGCACGGGCTGGATCTCAGAGCCCTGAGATCATGACCTGAGCTGAAATCAAGAGTCAGATGCTTACCCGACCAAACCACCGAAGTGCCCCAGGGGTGACTTATTTTTACGTTGATGTGCCTTTTTCTAGACTGAATAATCATATGCAATGAAACACAAATAGCTTTTAAGCCACAGGTTAAAAAGAGTAGGGTATAGAAAACCTGCTACACTGAGTGATTAGACCTTAAATGCCCCTTCTAATCATGTGAGTCTATTCTATGTATATTTAACATAAAATACAATTAACTTCCCAAAACCAAATTTTCAGGAAATAAAATTAAACACCGCATTAAGCTACTTGTTAGTTCTTTGCAGGGGTTAATGTTTTTGGCTGTTGGGTTTTTTTCAGATTTTACTTTTAAGTAATCTCTACACCCAACATGGGGGCTTGAACTCACGATCCCGAGATTGAGAGTCACATGGTCCTCTGACTGAGCCAGCCAGGCACCCCACAGGGGTTAATGTTAAAGCTATAGTGGATATATGATTTTCTTTGAGAAGCCGCTCCCTATGTGCGGTTGACCTATGGGTAGGCTCATGACTCAAACCTGGCCAATCAACATTTTCTAACATCTAGGCATAGACATATAAGTCCATCCAACCAGAGTGAATCCCGAATCTTTCTATGGAACTCTTAGAAAAAGGAAGCAGTGTATCTGCTAGATGTAGGCCAGGACTTGATGAGAGTCCTCTTGCCACCATGAGAGAAGACCGTCCTAAAGAGGGATCCATCATGGAGGAAAAGAGAAAAGAAAGATGGGGATTAATCAAGAGCCAATGATCTTGTTTGAGCTCCTGGATCCAACCATACCTGAATGTAGCATATCCCTGCACTTATCAGTATGTGAGCCAATAAATTCCCTTTTGAGACAGGTTTTAAAAAGAGAGACAGGTTTCTTACTACTTGTAATCAAAATATTCTCACCAATTACATAGGCAATATCATTTGCTTGCAAAAATACAGGGAAATCTAATCAACAGATTGTTCACCCAAATTATTCCTATGAGAAGCAAAGAGAAGAGCTAGATCTCAAGAGATACAATCTCAGATTTTGTGGCAATCCAGCTTGATTAGATGTTCCCCCCTCGAGTACTTTGCATTTACCCTGCTACCTTAGGCCTTAGACCTATATACTTTGCTACCAAGCTACTCCCATCTCAAAACACCTTGACCCCATAACCTTGGGAGTCACAATAGTCAATATATTGAACCAATCCATCACTCCCCAAAACTTCCTCATGCCCCTTTATTATCTTTCCTTTTCACCCTTCTTGCCCTTCTCACCCCCATGTGCTTTCTGTTGCTATAGATGAGTTTGCATTTCTGAACAATTATATAAGTGGAATCACAGAATGTGTACTCTCTTTTGTCTGGCTTCTTTCACACAGTATAATTATCCTGAAATTCATCCACATTGTTGTGTATTATATCAAATTAGTTCAATTTTTTAAAAGATTTTATTTATTTGAGAGCGAGAGAGAACACAAGAGTGGAGAGGGGCAGAGGGAGAGGGAGAAACAGATTCCTTGCTCAGTGGGGAGCCCAACACGGGGCTCAATCCCAGGAACCCAAGATAATGACCTGAGCCAAAGGCAAAGCTCAACTGACTGAGCCACTCAGGTGCCCCCAAATTAGTTCATTTTTTTAAATGACTGAATAGTGTTTCATTGTTTTACAATTTGAATTGTCCATTCACCTGTTTATAAACATTTGCATTGTTTCCAGTTTGGGGTTATTAAAAATAGAGCTACTTGGGGTGCCTGGCTGGCTCAGTAGATAGAACATGTGACTCTCAATCTCGGGGTCATGACTTCCAGCCCCACGCTAGGCATAGAGCCTACTTTAAAAAAATAGGGGCACCTGTGTGGCTCAATCAGTTGAGCATCTGACTCGTAATTTCAGCTCAGGTTATGATCTTAGGGTCGTGGGATCAAGCCCTGCATCGGGCTCTGCATTCAGCATGGAGTCTGCTTCAGATTCTCTCTCTCTCTCTCTCTCTCCTCCTTCTACCAATATTCATGCACTCTCTCTCTCTAAAAAAATAAAATAAATAATAAAATAAATGAGGGGCGCCTGGGTGGCTCAGATGGTTAAGCGTCTGCCTTTGGCTCAGGTCGTGATCCCAGGGTCCTGGGATCGCGCCCCGCATCAGGCTCCCTGCTCAGCAGGGAGTCTGCTTCTCCCCCTCCCTCTGCTTCTTCCCCTGCTCATGTTCTCTCTCTCTCTCTGTATCTCTGTGTCTCGAATGAATAAATTAAAAAGAAAATCTTTAAAAAAAAATAAATGAAAAAATAGAGCAGCTATGAATATTTGTGTACAAGTCTTTGTATAAACATATGCTTTCCCTTTTCTTGGGTAAATACATAGGAGTGGAATGGCTGGGTCATACGGTAGATGTATACCGACCTATGAAGAAACTGCAGGCTACCCAGCAGCCGCGTACCGAAGGAGTTCTGTTTGCTCTTCTCCAACACTTGCCATGGTCCCTTCCGTCTTAGCCATTCTAATAGGTGTGTAGCAGTATTGCATTGTGGTTTTATTTTGCATTTCTCTAATGACTGATAATGTTGAGCATCTTTTCATCCACTTATTTGCCATCTGTATATCTTTTTTGGATAAAGTCTATTCAAATCTCTTGCCTGTTTTTTAATTGATTGTTTACTTTCTAGTTATACATTTTGAGATTCATTATATTCTTGTATCAGATATGTGATTTGCAAATTTTTCAGCCTGTGATTTGTCTTTTCATTCTCCTAACAGTCTTTTGAAGAGAAGTTCTTAATTTTGATGAAATCTGACTTGTCAATTTTTTCTCTTATTAATTACACTTTTGGCATCTTCTCTAAGAAATTTTTGCCTAACCCAGTGTCACAAAGATTTCCTCCTGTTTTCTCCAAGAATTTTAATAGCTTTAGGTTTTGCATTTATTTTACTTTATTTTTATTTTTA